TGATTGATGCAATTATATCCTTTTACCATTATGCCCATTATTAAAATCCCACTAGTTTGTATTCTTGATATCTGTGGATTTAAAAATAGTTACATCCTCTTACTTTCATTGCCTCTTTCTGTTTTCTTTGAACATTTCCACTGTGCTTTTCCCAGGTTATTTCATTTCTGGCTGCAGTGCTAAAGAAAAAGGGAACACGGGCAGATATTGAAAATAATATGCCTGATTTTTTGCTACGAACGATGAGAAAAGAAATGTCATCTGTTCCAAAGAAAGTATGCTTTTAATTTAAATACATTTATATTTGAGTGTCTTGAAAATGGAGTATAATTAATCTTTAACTGGAAAATGAATGAGCTGAGCAAAATAAAAGATGATTTGTAGAGAGGAATCTCTAATCACTGGGCTTCTACAATCTAGATGTAGATGCAAAAGTTTGATTTGTCCTTTATAATAATTTGAAATAGAAATCTCTTTGTAGGAATGATTAAATTTGCTTGGAAAATAGTGTATATTTCTAGTAAGACTTGAAGAGCATCTAATGGAATTCACCAGTTGGGTTGAATGGATGTTCTTGCACTGTGCTTTCACTTCAGGTGGGGAGTTACTGGCTATGTCACTTTCAAGTTCTTACTTTCTAGCCTACCTGTATCCTAACTCTTTTCTAAGCTGAGTGGATACTGATTAGGGACTGCATGTAATGCTTTCTTCTTTGAAAGTTTTTTTTTTCCCAGTAGAAAAAGACAAATACTAAGAGATAAAAATGTCAGGCATGAAAGACCGTGTGGTCCACACATGAAGGTTCAATTAAACTGTTTTATTGGTAAAAACCTTATTCATGGGAATCTTCTCAACTAACATTTAACATCTGCTCAGAGTTAGATAAGGAACAGCTTAATTCTAGGGAATTTGGACTAAGACTGCTTGTGGATATGTAGGGATTCTAGGCCAGTGATGGCGAACCTTTTAGAGACCGAGTGCCCAAACTGCAACCCAAAACCCACTTATGCATCATTGAGTGCCGGGTGGGTGTGGCCCATTGGCTGGGCGTGGCCCATTGGCTGGGCGTGGCTGCAGTGGTAACGGCAGACTGGGTGGGACTAAAAAGTTCAATCAATCAATTCCAACTTTGCAAGATCTTTTTTTTTTCCCTGGGAAGTTGAAATTGACTGATTGATTGAACCTTTTTTTTTTTTTGCATACGGCGGCGGCCTAAAGCGAAAAGGTTTTATAAAACCCAGCTGAAGGCCTAGGACTGGGGCGATGGCGCACGTGCCCACAGAGAGGGCTCTGAGTGCCACCTCTGGCACCCGTGCCATAGGTTTGCCACCACTGTTCTAGGCTTATACCTCTTTTAAACCCATTCCCAGGTTCTGCCACTCCTTCCCCTACAAAAAAATTAATCATTGATAGAAACAAAAACAAGAAAATAAACATTGTGTGCCTGCATAAGCAAACATAAGGCAAAACTGATTGATTGATTGATTGATTGATTGATTGATTAAATTCATATGCTGCCTGATTCCCAGCGACTATGGCAGTTGAAATAAAAATACTAAACATCTACATTCAATATTTATTTTCAGATTACATTAATAAATGTAATGTATTAGGAAAAGTTTTGCTAATATATTAAATAAATGACAACTAAATTTGAATACATTTAGTGTTTATTATAAATTTTTAAAGCTCTGTGTTGCATTAATTGTTCATCTAAAGCAGTGTTTCAGATTTTTAAATACTACTGAAAGATATTTTAGTTTTCTAGTATTCCAAACCTGACAGCTAATTTAAGGAATTGAATTGAATCTTACATTGCATAAATGTATTCATTTATACAGTTATAACAATAGGAGTCAATATACTGTAAGAGATTGATGATTTGTTTCAGTTCCTTCAGAATTTTTCAACCAAAGACCTGGCTAATTGGGCATTTCCAGGAAGTCAATCTCTGCCCATTATTTATCACTATTGGTACTAGTGTGTAAAGCCCTTTGAAACAAGCTGTTTTGATAATTGGATTTCCCTATTTTGTGTATAAAATGCCCAAGCCCAAATATGAAACAGCTGTTTCAAGCATTTTAGAAGTGTTTTGTGCTTGAAAGATAGTGTAGTTAATTCAAGTTCAAAATACTTTCGATATGTTTCAAAGCATTGCTAATATCCCCAAATATTTGAATACCACTATTTGCAACTGTACACAACATGACATGGAAGCTTTAAAATGTATATGGTACAATTTTGTATAATAAAATGCTGCCTAGGATTTATCTTCATGATTTTCTTTTTCATAGTATTTCTATTAAAGATTACAATTTACAGCAATAAAAATTAAAACTAAAAGAAAAAAGTACAAAAAAAGAGAAAGAAAAATTATAAAATAATTTGAGCTTTCTAAAATCAAAGTTTTGCGGGTAGTTCTTTACCCAAAATTATTGCTGCTATAATGCCCTTGTGATCATGAAAACAAAATGTGGGCGCTTGGCCATATAACTGATCATAGAGATGCTGCAATAGCTCCCTGGCCTATCCTTCCCCATTCCACCCCATTAGATTCCTTCGGCCTACTTCTCACTTGCCTAGGCCCCTTCAGGTAATGGGCCTGCTTCACACCCCACTGAGTCCCATACCTTGGGCCTACTTCCCACCTGACTGGGTCCCTGCAGGCCTTGGGCCTGCTTCCCATCCCATTGAGTCCCACATCCTTGGGCCTATTTTCCATTCAGCTGGTCCCTGCAAGCCTTGGGCCTGTTTCCCGCTCCTCTGATTGCCCCTTCTCCCCACTCTCACAGTTTGAGCCACTTAACTTTTTCCAAAGACCACTTTTGGTAAGAAGCAGCCAGTCCATTATGGAGACTGTGTGGTGGGTTCCAGAAGTGGGCATCAATTTAGGAAATTAGACTTAAATATAAGGCATTTCATTATTCTCAAGGTTTTGGCAACCCCTAGGTTCAATGGCTCTATGCAGAATAAATATACTGAGGATTCGTTTAACTGACATTAACTCTGGCCAATCTCTTTTCTTGTTTGATTCAAATTTTCTATTGTTTAGTTGTTTCTGTTCTCTTGAAACAGGGGAAATAATTAGCATCCTGACTTGCTGAGCTTGCTCATGCAAAAAGGGCTGCTCATACTTCAACCAGATACTGAGTTACTGTGGCAGAGTTCTGCCACTTTTGAGTGGATCCACTGTAGGCAGCAGTGGAAAGTGGAGCTGAAAGAAAAGCTAAATTTGGTTGTATTAAAATTAAAGTTAATAAGAATGTTCCTTACCTATCAATCATTATTCCTGTGTTGACCTATTCAAAATCATATTTCAATACTAATTTAGGGAAGGATCTGAACGCTGTTCCCAAGTATTCCAGGGACCATGTGTGACTCTGAGTTCCACATACCAGTAGTGTAACTCTGTGCTATATAGGCACTAAACTGTTAAATTTTAAGGTTTCTGTTGGGGATTGATCTCCCCAGACTTTTTCAGTGTGAAAGCTAGTTGAATGGTTTTCATTTCTGTTTTTGTTTTCTTTCTCCCTTCCCCCTTTTTCTTGCACTGTACGTGGTTCTTCATTGTTTTTAATTTATTGGGGGGGGGATTGTGGTATTATATATTTTATAAACATTTCAAGATGCTTTTGTTTGAGAGGCAGAAGAAAAATAATAGCAATGAAATGTCTTTGTGTTCCATACAAATATTATTACAAAGCGTTCAATGCCAAACAGAGGCATTGTGTTTGAGACATTGTGGCAGATATTCTTAGGCACTGATCTAACAAGGATTCATAATAACTTCAATATAGATGCTAGTAACAAGGGCTGGCTTGAAACTTACGTGTTTGTGATTTTTTTTTTTGGGGGGGGGGAATTCCAATTGGTATTCATGTCTGATTTTCTCTCCAAAGTGCCTTCAAGAAATTGTTTTCTTGATAGATCTTCCCTGGTCTCTGCATGTTCCTCTCCTTAACTTAAGCAGCACAACATAAGAACATGCATTTGGTTCTATTTCTTTTATATTAAATTAAGTTAATTAAGTTTTATTAGTATAGGTGTTCCATATCTATGTAACCATTATTTCTATGTTGTCCTGTTCAAAATAATATTTCAGTAGCAATGTGGAGAAAGATTTGGAGATTGTTTTCAAAGTTTCTAGGGTCCACATGTGACCTTGTGACTTTTGGCTTATAATTTTTATTTCTGTTAGTAATAAAACCCAAAAGAATAATTCTGGGTTAAGTGTGGTCAGAAACATCTACAGATGCTATAATTATGAAAACTGCTTTCTGTTGATAGGATCATTACTTGCCAGTGATGCAGTGTAGGGCCAGCAGTAACTTAGTAAATCATCAGTTTCTAATGTTGACTGCCGAAATGTAGGAAAATGAATTGTGCATTTGTTGGGTTTAGCTCATGCTGGTAGGTGGCATGTAGCCTGTATTATTCAGGGCTGCCATAACACATACCCTGGATTCCATTTTCAAAAATATTCTTATATCTACATCTTAATAAAATACAGGTAGTCCTCGACTTATGACCACAATTGAGCCCAAAATTTCTGTTATTAAGTGAGACATTTATTAAGTGAATTTTGCCCCATTTTATGACCTTTCCTGCCACAGTTGTTAAGTGAATCAATGCAGTTGATCAGTTACTAACCTGGTTGTTAAGTGAATCTGGCTACCCCATTTACTTTGCTTGTCAGAAGGTCACAAAAAATTAATCACATGACCCTGGGACACAGCAATGGTCATAAATATAAACCAGTTGCCAAGCGTCTGAATTTTGATCACATGATCTTGGGGATGCTGCAAAAATTGTAACTCTAAAAAATGGTCATAAGTCACTTTTTCCACTGTCGTCGTAACTTTGAATCGTCACTAAATGAACTGTAGTAAGCCGAGAACTACCTGTGTGCTACTTTTTTTCTAATTTATCTCTCAACTTTCTTTGTTGCAACAATTGAAAACTATTTCATTTGAAAATCGTTAACAGTGTGAAAATTTTGCATTCTGGGTACATTTGTGTTGTTCATCAGCAGTATTGTATGTTCTGTTTCAGATTTTCTTGATTGTGGCACCTCTTTCTGTGCTCTATAATTGGAAAGAAGAATTAGATGTCTGGGGGTACTTCAAGGTTATAGTTCTGCATGGCAACAGAAAAGAGCATGAGTTAAATCGAATCAAGCAAGGAAAATGTGAAATTGTGCTAACAACCTCTGAAGCACTTCGTCTTTATTTGAATGAGCTTAACAGGTAACTACATTCTGTGATGACTGCTACTGAATATGAAGCATTTTTTTATATAAATTGGGGCTATAAATCCTTGAAATAGCTAGAGATAAAGGAAAAGGTATTTAAGGAATATAATCCTGGCTACACAATGCGTCTGTTGAAATCTATGTGACTTAAACACATGCAGACAAATGAAAATGAGTCCCAGAGTCTTTCCTCATTCTCTCCTCCATACTCCTTAGCTCCATTTTTCTTAAATGGATTCAGACAATGGATTCTGTCCTGTTGCAACGTGGGGCTTTCTTCAACTTCACCCTGAAAGTTAGAAATGTCAACAGATTTAAAATAAGACAGAATACATGGGCAAACTCTTGTAAAAAAACATGGTCCCCAAAAGCCTACATGGATCATGGATCAATAATACTGTGAGGCAATGGATGCATTTGCAATGCAATCTCGTAATGGGGGCTTTGGTAATCACCAAATGCTGCCAATAAAGAATGCCCTTTAGTAGAAGGCAGAGTTGAGAGTTTGCTTTCCAGTCCTCTTTTAGTGACCTATATTTGTCTGTATTTTCATTTTAGCAGCTGGGCATCCTTTCAAATAAAGCCCTATTTTTCTTCTTAAAAATTGCTTATAGAATACCTGTGGGCCTTTAAGCCTTAATTATAAACAAAGATATGGTTATCAGCATAAACTTTTAAATGTGCTGTACTCTTTAAAATAGAGAAATGAAATATTTATATGAGAGCCACTATGGTGTAGTGATTAAGTGCTATACTAGCAGCAGAAAGATCCAGTTTGTAATCTTTCTTTAGATCAGGGGTGTCAAACTGCCGGCCCGTGGGCCGGATGCATCACGCGGAAGCCGCACCCATCCCATTGCCGGCAATGGCAAAACAGTCCTGATACATCGCACGAAGTCACGTGACGTCGCGTGTTTGACATGTCTGCTTTAGATAGAGAAACTGGATGGCTGGCATTAAGACCGTCATTCAGCCATAGATTAGAAAAGTGAAAACTTATCTATCACCCTCCACTGGTTCAGTGTATTAGATTATGGTCCCTAATCTTCAGCAAACAATTCCAACTATTAATATATATGGAGGAATAGGATGAGTTCATTATGAGAAAATTAGTACTGTACTAGCTCATTAAGACAACTGGAACTGAGGGAGAGACTTTAGAAAAACTTTTACCAATCCTTATGTTTCATAGCTTACACTGGTCAGCTGTCATTGTAGATGAAGTACATAGAATCAAGAATCCAAAATCTCAGATTACTCAGACAATGAAGGCTCTAACGTGTAAAGTTCGGTTGGGACTTACTGGGACAATTTTACAGAATAACATGAAAGAGCTTTGGTGTGTTATGGACTGGTAAGTGAAATAAAATTTAATATTACAAGCACAGATGGAGTGTTTATAATCCTTTTTTCCCTTGTTTATCTCTATGCACATCAGAGTTCTCATGTATTACGCGCGCCTGGTATTCACATGTCTTACAGATGTCTTTTACAGAGAATTTTGGCAAACCAGCTATAGTTGTCTGTGCCAGGAATTTATAGAGCACATATTTCCCATTGTGTGAGTGTGTGTCATGGAACTGTAGAATACAAGCCATAATAAATGTGCATTTATTACTGTGTAATGTGTGAAATGATTTCTTCAGTGCCTCATGTCATTGGTTTTAGGCATTTATAAGCTGCTTAACGATACGAGGAAAGAGCAGTTTAGAAACCCAAATATATGCCTTCTTCTTTCTATTAGGGCAGGGGTAGGCAACCTTGGCTCTTTTATGACTCGTGGACTTCAACTCCCAGAATTCCTGAGCCAGTCATGCTGGCTCGGGAATTCTGGGAGTTGAAGCTCATGAGTCATAAAAGAGCCAAGGTTGCCTACCCCTGTATTAGGGTGTCCAGCACTTCAGATGTGATACAGAAAAGGTACTTCAGGGGATGTATAGGCACACATCGTGCACCTGTTGGAGTTTTGTGAAAAACGTGCATTTTTTCCCTGGGCTTGTACCGTAACTTGCTATCCCAGGAAAACAGAATTTTGAGTATCTATGTAGCTTTGTTAGTGTGGCATATATGTTTCTTAAGGCAGGGGTCCCCAATCTTTCAGGAGCATTGCAGCAGCCATAACTTTGAAACCAATAAAAGAGAATATTTTTAGCTGAGGGTTAAAATGAGGGGTCCTTAGTACTCTCTGAGCTTAATATTTTTCTTGCAGACATTTCTGCAAGAAACATCTGCCAAACTAGGTGACATCATCAGTGCTAGTACTTACCCGGTGCTCAGAGGCTTTCTGTCTGTCCAACACTGAAGATGGCTTTTCACATATTTACCATATGGCACATTCATACCTCATTTCAATTCAAAAACACAAGAGATAAAGATATAAAATGTGAAATATAAAATGTAGGATATTATAAACGTATATCTAGATCACAGATATAATTTTTTGCTTCATTTGTTGCGGCCAGGAAATCAGCGAAGTCTCCATTATAGGCTCCATTTTGGCACTTTGTCCTTATATATGGGATGGTTTGTTTTTCGGCCCCACAGTCACAACTCAATTCAGTCACAATTTTTGCCTCATTTATAAAGGCTTTCCACAAAATGCACGTGATGAAGCATAAGAATAAACCCCAAAATCACTCCAACAAATAATTAAAACTTGGTAAATCTTACGGCTGGTATGTGAAAGTTAATAGCTAATAACCACTCTAGATCTTTGACTCTAGAAGCCTGCTAAAATTAATATCCTGTATTAGTGCTTGATACACTAGAACAGGGGTTCTCAACCTTGGCAACGTTAAGACTTGTGGACTTCAACTCCCAGAATTCTTCAATCAGCTTTGCTGGCTGAGGAATTCTGGGAGTTGAAGTCCACAAGTCTTAACGTTGCCAAGGTTGAGGACCTCTGCGACTGGAAAACAACAATTTTCTCTTTCTCTTAGGGCTGTTCCTGGGCTCTTGGGTAGCGAAGCGAGTTTCAAGACAAAGATTTCTGATCCTGTAGAACTTGGCCAGCGGCACACTGCAACTAAGAGAGAGCTAGCCACAGGTCGAAAGGCAATGGCAAGGCTAGCTCAAAAAATGTCAGGCTATTTCTTAAGGCGTACAAAGGCTCTCATCAGTGACCAGTTGCCCAAGAAAGAAGACAGAGTGAGCACCATTTATTAACTTTGATTATTCCTGTTAGTGTGGATTTTGTACAATTTATATAGTAGATATATTAGAGTAACCTATGTATGGAACTGCCTGTATGTAGCTTTATACCAGGGGTAGTCAACCTTGGCTCTTTTATGACTCGTGGACTTCAACTCCCAGAATTCCTGAGCCAGCTAAGCTGGCTCAGGAATTCTGGGAATTGAAGTCCATGAGTCATAAAAGAGCCAAGGGTGACTACCCCTGCTTTATACCCTGGGGGCAAGTGGGGCTGGAAATCCGTGTCAGACTGTAACAGCACATGGGGGGGGGGGACTAGAAAAGGACCTTTTCCTTGATTGCTGATTTAATTAATAGCAATAATTGTGACGTTTATCATTAGCTTCAAGAAAAACTGGGTTATCCTTCCTCTCAAAGGCTATGAGCAACCTAGGAGCGTATCTGAATCAACTACAAGAGAGGCTTTTTACAAAGTTTTGGAAGCTGTGAATGACAGGGAAAAATCAAAATCATCTTGCTAGGTGCCTTTTTTGCACTTTTTATCCTTCAAGCCATTTCTTTCTAACATTTGGAGGAAGGGAGTTTTCCCTTACAGAGAATTCTGGAGGTTACTGTGTGGGGCTTTATTATATTTTCCTAAGCTCTTCATATGCACCAAGTGAATGTAAGATAAAACTCATTATTATCTTTTTTTTGGTGATGTTACCAGTAATATTCTTTGACTTGGAAGACAGAGATTTTTGAATCACTGAATGATAGATACTATCTCTGTGAAGGTAAAACTTTGAGTAGCAATAGCAATAGCACTCTCTAAGCGGTTTACAGAGTCAGCATATTGCCCCCAACTAACTGGGTCCTCATTTTACCGACCTCGGAAGGATGGAAGGCTGAGTCAACCTTGACCCAGTCAGGATCAAACTGCTGGCAGCCGTCAGTGAGCAGAAGCAGCCTGCGCCACCATAGCTCTTAAGGGAAACTAGAGAAGGGAACAGAAATGTTTGTGACATACATGACATATTGCTATATAATATTCTGGAGATAGAGGGCTGTAACTTTCCTCCCATTTAAAAAAAATCTGGATAGTACTTGCTAATCACTAACTATTTTTATGGAAAAGAGAGACACTTGTTTGTTGTTGTACAGAGAAAGACTAATGTCTGAGACATGGAGCCTTCTTTGTAATGAATTCAATTTTTGATGAATTAATGGATGCATCCATTTCTATGACAACTATGTGGAGGTGGGTTGCCATATCCTTCTTCCAAGATGTCTTTCCAACTTTTTATATAATCTACAGTGCTGGGATTTTCTGATATTTTCCCATCAAAGTACTAATCACATCCAACTCTGTTTTAGCTTTTACAAAATCGTTCATGGTCGGCTAGCTGATGCTATCTGTTCGATACAAATGTGTTATCAAACATTTTTTCCATAAGTGCATTTTCAACCTTGTAAGGATTTGGTCTGTGTTACAGGGATATCATTAAATGCTTGGTTATAAAAACAGAATTCCAAATACTTTTGTTTTGCAGAATCTGGGTGAATTATTAGCACCTACCTTTGCCCTGCATTGCTTTCACACAATGTTCACACAATTTCTTTGTTATATTAGATTTCTATAGTGTTATTGAAAATAATGAATGGAAGAAACTAGGTGAAAAGCAAATCACTCTTGACAGCTCCAGGCATTCTGAAAATTACCCAAGTAATTGTTGCAGTTATTGTCCCTGAAAATTCAGAGGGCATTGTTCTCCTCTTGATGACCTCTTTGAAGCAAGTAGGGATTTGGACTTACTTTGGTTCTTTTACATCTTGGGACATGAATCTTCCATTCCCGTTGCTCATTAAAATCAACTTGTCTCTCTTTTTCATGGAAGTTCATGTCTCAAAATAGCTATTGATTGGTGAGCTCAAAATCTGCTCCTATGGAATGCATTCTTGATTGTCTGAGCTCTTTAGAAAATACTAGCGTCTCAGTTTTCCTGGAGTTTCATCCTTATATACTTCTTTGGGAAAAAACTATATATTTGCCCTCTTGAATTTTTTGAATGTTTGCATATTTTTGTCTCTGAATGTTACACTTCATGTGGGTCTAGCAATGTGGCAGTATGAAAAAGTATTTGTCCTTTTAGATTCAGTAACTGGTTGCATCAGCTTTAGCTGCAGTACCCAAATGTTTTCTATAATTGATCATCAGGTTTTCACAACACTGTGTAGGAATTTTGGTTCATCTCTCCATGATCAAAGGCTTCAACTTATAACATCTTCTGTGGACTTTGAAACATTTATTTTTTCTTCATTTTATAGATCTGTTTAGATATTTAAAATCACTTTTTTGCTCTATGACACCCTAGTGGTTCAGCCTCAATTAATGGACTGATAGCCGGATATTTTCATGGAGGCTCTGATTAAGTGCAGATTTCTTGGTTCTTTGCAGTAGTCCAGAGTCCTGAGTCAGCAAAGCACCCCAAACCTTGGCAAACACTTCCATGCTGGAGAGTTAATATGAGGTTCTTATTGTGAAGTGCACAATAAGGTTTCCACCAGAAATGATGACATCCATAGAGCCTGAAAAATCCCATTTTTGAACACACTTCCAGAAGTCTATATGTGTGTGTCCCGGCTGCTTTTTTTTTGCAAAATAGAAATGAGCGCCAATGATCCCTTTAGTGAGGATTTCTATCTTGCAGTTCTGTATGGTTTATTGTTTCGATTGTGTATGTGTGATTATTTATTTATATTTCATATTTCTAAATCATCCATTTCCCTCAAAGAGGTGCTCTGGCAGCTATATAATATAACTGATAAATAAAAATGTATAAAATTAAAGTTCAAAATTAGGATTAAAAACTTTACAATTCTAGAATAATGACAATTAAACACCAAAGGGGGAAAAAGCCTATGATGGCCATTTGACATTGGAGTAAAACAGGCCGGGGAGCTCTCAAGGGATTAGTCGGGCCCATGGTTGCATGCAGGTCCCCCTGCACCCGCTCTCCCGGTCCCCCACCCTCAGGCAATGCCACAGAGCCAAGTTATGTTTGTTGAATTGTGTTGAATTGTTTCTATTCTTTATCGCAAGAAACTTATGTAATTTTTTAGGTGGGTGACTATAATAAATTTAATAAATTAAATTAATTAAATTAACTTTTGCTTTTCTTTGGGTGAACTCATGAACACTAACTATAGCCTAAGTCAGAAATTTATTTATTCAATTTGTATGAGTGTCCAGGTCAGACTAGTGACTTTTTTGTCTGGTTGATCCAACTAGTTTAGTATTGCTCTGAGAGGCAAAAAGCCTCCAAGTCCAGTCTTCTAACATTTTATAAGATCTGCAGTTATGTTAGTATCTTTACAAAACAATCATATTCCTATTCGTCCATCTATTCAATTTACTTATTGACGTAAAATATGAAATAAGCTATAGAATAATGCTCAGATTTTTTTTTCTATTGCTCAGATCATCTAAAATTCTTCTTTTCCAGTGAGTGAGACCTACCCAGAGTGCATCCAGATGGAATTTGGTAGTTAAATTTCTACAGTGGTGGACTGTCCAAAGTCATGAGCACTTTAAGCGAAATATCTGTTTTGATTTTGCTCTTTGTGGCAGTCCTTCTATTATTCAATGTAAGATGTGTCATTATGTGGAAGTAAAGGAAAGGACTTGGGGCTCTTTCATCTTTCAAGAAGATTCCAAATACAATTTATGCAGGCAGATTTTTGTGAAAGAACCAAAAGTATGGCTTGAAAAATAAGTGTTTGAAATAAACCCTTTGCTTTTCTTCTCTTTCCCACTAAATATTTCTGGAACATAACAATATTCTTATGAATGATTTTCATGCATAAACATTCATTTTCTATCCAATATGCATAGGTTGATGGAAGAAGCATAGATGCATGCATGTATAATATGTTCAGTATCTGTACAAACTCACGAATTAATTGAGGTTGCATACTTTTTGTGCCTCTTTTTTTTATAGTACAAAAGTTTATTGTGAATTGATAGATCCAAAACTGTGAGACTTTGTTTCCATTATGAAAGATGTATGTCTTTCAGTTATCCTGTCTGGAATGTTTTGATAAATGTAGAAATACATTCTAGAGAACACCCAATCACACATTTAATAAAGATACACATTTGTCTGCTGCTCTTTCTTCCTTGTTTATACCTGCCTTTCAGCTAAAGCTTGTAATAATGCAGTCTAAACTGTGTTTTCTAAAGAGAAGATTAACAGCAATGTCACTCTGTTGCCTTTAATCTAGAAGCTTTTATTTTATCCCATTCTCTTGATAATGTGAGTATATGTTCAAGATACCATTTGATTATTATAGCACAGCATGGTGCTGCTGCTTTGTGGGTGGCCTAAATGCAGGAGGGGTCTTAGAATATCTGTATCCTGCTGGTTGAGACCAAAAGATGTCATGGAGATGCCACCCATGGTCTTAAAGAGGAAGGATTAAGTATGTCATACCACTGTCCAAGAATCTCTCCCTCCTATATCAGCCATTCAGAATGTCAGTCTTAAAAATTGGCCGTTTTCTTTTATTCCTGCTGCCTGCATTAGTCTTTACAATAGTGCCAGGAAATGGCAAATAGATCTTTTAAGCAATTTAAGATGGTTGTCTTAGGGATTGAGAGTGATCCCAACAATTTATCTTTCACATTCTTAGCAGATTTTTTTCATTTGCATATAAAGGGCTTGTTGATCATAATCTTCGGAAAAAGAATCTTAAAGCCCACCTCTTCAGTTTGCAAGCTCAGTACATATTTTAGCTTGTGATATATTATTTGTGTTATTTTATTCCCCCTGTTTTGCATTTTATCTCGCCAGATGGTATATTGTTATTTGACAGAGTTCCAGAGAACAATTTATAAGACTGTATTGGAGACAGAAGATGTGCAACTAGTTCTGCGGGCACGTGAACCATGTAGCTGTAATAGTGGCCATAAAAGGAAGAATTGTTGCTACAAAGTAAGCATTATTTTTAAACTTAAGTATGTTTGAAGTAGAGTGACCATCCACAATAGTCCTTTGACCTACTCCATATCCAGCCTTTGTTTTTCCCCCCTCATAAATCTTAATGGGTCATAGAGTAGATGGATAATGACATCCTGTACTGTAGATAAAATAAATACAAACAAGCTAATTGGGGCGGCAGGCGGCAATTCCCAGGTCTGTGTAATGCTTCTAAATTTAATTTTTTAAAAATTAAAATAGCACTGATTTGAGTTACCAAAACAGAAGTTCAATCACTATTATAATTACAACAATGCTAAAAAGTCTCTATAAGAGCCAGTCTGGTGACTGGCTAAGACGTCAGGCTAGAAACTGGGAAATCAGGAGTTCTGGTCCTGCTTAGGCAAAAAGCCATCTGGGTGACCTTGGGCCAGTCACTTTCTTGAAGCCCTAGGAAGAAGACAATGGCAAACTGCTTCTGAAAAATCTTGCCAAGAAAACTGCAGGAATTTGTCCAGGCAGTCTCTGAGAATTGGACACAATTGAAAGGAAGGAAGAAAATATATATTGGGTGGGGACTAATTCATCTTTTGGTAAATAGATGTTTTGTGAACTGGATGCCAAATGTGTGTCTAATCATTCCTCTACTTTGAAATGGCCTCGTTGATTGCTATTGATTTACTTCAGGTTAAGCAGATGTAAATTATTTGAAAATGTTGTCTCAAAAGAAAAAAATAATCAAGGAAAGGCTTTGCGGTACACCTTTCCAAGCTATATTACTAAGATATAATAGAAACTGTTTTATTATTGCTCATCTCGTGTGATCCATAAAATGAATAAACTTAATTTTTGTCATGTTTACCTCACTGGATTTACCACAACATAAATGGTCAGTGAATCATCACCTAAAAATCAGCCAGGCATAGCCAGGAAAGTAGTTATTTGAGACAGTTGTTGATATCGTTGCTGGTCTACTGGAAAGCTATTGGATGAGATTTTTTTTTTTTTTGAGTTTCAGGTTAAATATGTTTCAGATACTCGAAGAAGAAGAATACTTTGAATTTTAAGCATGTGTTGTGGAATAAATTCCCAGGTGTTTTAAAGTTTATATCCTAACTTTATACAAAGTAAGCAAAGCTAACAATTCTGAAAGATGGGGCAAAATACACTGAAGATGAATTGCATAGGCTTCAAACGTAGCCTATGGAGAAGAGATAGAGGCAATATTTTTCCAGTGTCTGGAAGTTCAGGGGACTTGGCCCAGCCATCATTAACATGGAGGGGAAAATGAGCTAAAAAGTTACGGTATTCTAGATATTTTTTTGTGAATTTAGTTTTTGGATTTAAGCATCTGTATTGGCTGTTACGAAAGCCAGTTTGGTGTAGTTAAGCTAAAAACCAGGAAGCCATGAGTTCTAGGCCTGCCTAAGGCACAAAGCTATTTGAGTGTCCTTGGCCTAGTCACACTCTACAAATCCTAACAAGGAGTCCATGGCAAATCACTTCTGAAAATGTTGCCAAGAAAAATGCAGGGACTTAATCTAGGCAATTGCCAGAAGTTAACACTGATTTGAATGCATCCCTGCACATACACACACATACATTGTCTGTTATACTTTAAGTTATTTGTTCTAGCCATGAAAGTCATATTCCTATTCACACTTCAGCACTTAAAGAAAGGTGACATAAACTATTCTGTAGAGTAGACCATTCTCTTTCGTGAATTGATAAAACTGCATACTCCTTCATTTCCCATGCTCAGGAAAAGGGAACCATCATAGTTTAGTAGATGACTGGCATCAGGAAGCATGGACAGACTTCATAATAATTGGAGACATTGAAGCCCCAGAGACTGTGATAGCTGCTGCTTCTGCTGATAGGATTTACACGCCTAAGAACATACGGAACTCTGCAAAATATATCGAAGAACTGACACAAGATGACAGAGATAGGGGGTGGTGTTAACAGATTATACTTCTTTGCATAACAGTGGCACATTTGAATAAACATTAAGCAGCCTAAAGATGTTTAACAAATAGACTAATGAAATTGAAATGCATCACTCAGTCAAAAAGTTCCCAGTCCATGGCTTTCAAGCTATGTTTACAGAAATCATTTCTGATTCATTAGAACATTTCTAATTCTTCTGTGTAGCTTTATCTGTGCTCTGAACTAAGGTCTGATCTACTTTACTTGACTTGGGCAGCAAAAGGATTCTTATCTGCTCCAGATAAGATAACATCCATGTTGGGGTTGCTATTTTGATTCATCACCCATATACAAGACTTCCTACAAATAAAAAAAAAATTTAGCATGAAAGACATACGTTTAAACCGTAGTCACTTTTGGATGTGCTGTGCTTTTTATGCAGGAGAGTATGTATTTTATTTATTGTATTAGTCAACATAAAATATCTTGAACAAAGTACAATCTACATTCTGATTATAATCTATTATACCAGCCTAGATCTTGTTATGCCTTTCCCACCCTATTTTAACGTTTGTGTAGAGAGGTGGCTTTAACAGATTTAATTCATTATTCTTCAGCCTCGTTAAGATGGCAGTTATTTCACTTAAATACATATTTAAATGTTTGTTGGGGGGGAGTATATGTAATGGGCTGTGAAAATAACCTTGGGAAATAGGAGGAAGAGCTGCAGGTTAGATAATGCTCCAATAAGAGAAATCTGAGTCTGAAGAAGGGATGAGGGTAGAGAAAGGGGAAGGGACCCACTCCAGTTTTCTGGAAAGTAAAGGCAGGGGAGAGGAGAAGTGCTTTCAGACATGCAAGATTCTGTTACTGTAACCTTCAAATAAGAGTAACATTAATACTCATTGTTCAGGGGGGAGGGTTGGGCTACCTCGAAAGGCTAACAATATAGATCCACCCTCAAGTTATCTCTTTTTGCACATAGGAGGACCTTGAATGAATAGATCATGATTTCAAAACACATTGTATTTTTTTATGTTTGCTGTTCATGAAATGAAAAGGAAATTGACATTTTTTTTGCCTTTTTCAGCTTAGTATTTTCCCACTATAAATTATTAGAAAACATTTTAATTTGACATGCTGACATGGAACTTTAGAGGCAGAATGTTGTGTATTTTTCTGTTCAGTAAAGGACAAAATATGTTTCTAATATTCTAGAATTCAGATTTTCTCCTCAATCCCAGAGAAAAGAAATCCAAACACTGGATTTTGTGAAATAAATATTTCCTGCCTTATTTAAGTACTATAGTTTTCCGTTCTCTGAATTTTTAAACTGTTTATATTTCTACAGACAAATGCTCATGGTGAAACAATGAATGCGTTATATTTCAGTTATTTGACAGTCCTTCGTAAGATAGCAAATCATGCTGCCCTGTTACAGACAGAGAACACTAGCAAACAGCAGGTTAGTTTTCTCAAGTCTTTGTTTTCAGCAATGATTTGAAATGGTAAACTCCATTCTTCATTTTATGTCTCATTCATTGTGTTAAAATTATGTTGAAACTATATTGTTCTTAAGGAAATATACTTCCAAGTCTGTAATAGATAGACTGTTTGAGTCTAGGAATACAAACGTGATTTTAGGGTTTGCCATCCCTATTCAGCTTGAGTACAGGTAGTCCTTGTTTAGTGAGGTTCGCAGTCATGACAGTGGTGAAAAAGTAACTTTACAATCAGTCCACACATTTATGACCTTCATGGATCTGTAAAACAAAGGAAAGCTGAAGTAAGATCATATGCATTTCACTTAATCGCCGCTTTGCTTAACGACTGAGTTGCCTATATTGCTCTTCCCAGAATCTACTGTTTTTCCGCCTTTACTTTTTTATGGCAACAGGGACAGAACGCAAAGTTGTAAGGAACTGAGCAAGAACTGCCCCGTTAGTAAAGTGGCAGTGCGGTGGCCTCATTCCACTCCCTGTAACCTAGCAATCTCCTTGATACCTGCTGTGTGTTTTACATTCATTTATTTCAAAACAATCTTTCTGAGAGCAGTTTTCTCTAGCCGGTATCAATAGTTAAGCTAAAAGCCTGCTCTTTTTCTTTTTTTCTTTGCCTTCCAATAGAAAGAGGAAAAAGGGATGGCTGCAGAATGTCCAAAGGGGTCATGGAAGGCTGCTGCTTTCTAATTTCCCTTCTTTCTGCCTCGAAATATAAGTAGGGTATGGTAGCAGTCAGATCTACTACAAGTTTTAGCTTAGAAAAATCAGCAGAGGACTCAGTTGCTATCCCCCATTTTCTCCTCTTCCTTTCTAAGAGGCGAGGGAAATGAAATTACAGCCGCAACCTGATTGTTGTAGCTTTCAGTCTGGAATAAGGGGGAATAGCCATGGCTCCTGCTCCTTGCCCCAGCTCCTGCTCACCTAGCAGTTAGAAAGCAGGCAAATGTGAGTAGATTAATAGGTATTACTTTGGTAGAAAGGTAATGGTGTTCAATGCGCCTTTGGTATACAGCCATGCAGGCCACATAACCATGGAAAATGTCTTTGAATAATGGAGATAAGCATCATGCCCTAGAGCAGTGGTTCTCAATCTATGGGTCACGACCCCATTTGGGGTCGATTGACCATTTCACGGGGGTCACCAAGCAAGGCTGTCCGCCATTTTTTCCCTTTTCCGGCAGGTGCCTTACCTCCCTTGAGCTGGGCCAGCTGGTGGTCGGCCTGCTCCGTCTCTGCTGCTTGCCAGCTACGCCTCGGCCGGCGCAGGGGGCGGAATCACGCATGCGCGGTGCTCCCGGGCAGGGAAAGTCCTCGACTTACGACCGGTTGGGTAGTCCTCGACTTATGGCCGGTTTAGTCCTCGACTTATGACCGGTTTAGTCCTCGACTTACGATCGGTTGGGGTCGCGGCATTAAAAAGGTTGAGAACCACTGCCCTAGAGTTGGACACAACTGGAGAGAGAAGGAAGGAAGGAAGGAAGGGTAAAGAATTGATAGTTAAGACCACAAATAGCAGGAAATTCATGAAGATATTCTGGAGGAGCAAAAAAAAAAAAAATGGGATCCCGGAATGAGAAGTAACAATCCAAGATATGACATATATCTATATATTGGTAGAATGAAACTGAGATGTATATATGAGATTTTTGAACTATGGGGAGATGTACACTAAAGAAATGGGCTAAATGTGAGGATACTTTCAGCCATGGCTCCCCCCCCCTTTTTTTTTTCTTTTAGCTTATTTAAAGTAGAAGGAATGTCTTTTTGCTATTGCTCCTGTTACACAAATGAAAATCCCTTGTCAAACTTCTGCAAGTAGCAGTCTATCTTCTATAGATACTGCCCATGTTTTCAATTTTTCCTTGCACTACAGTAAGTGTATTTTTCCACTTCTTTTAATTCAGCTATTAATTCAGCATTTTCTTTGGATTGATTTGTATTTTATTTTAGGAGGCCTACATCACAAGGATCTGCAGCCATGTTTTTTCCAAGTTTCCTGATTTTGTGGACCTTAGCAAAAATGCTGCTTTTGAAACTCTTTCTGATCCAAAATATAGTGGGAAAATGAAAGTAAGTAAAAGAAGGGAAAGATGGAGCAGAGCTGTTTTCCATACATATTTCTTTTGTTTGCATTCAGCACACCATTTGTGGAAAAAACATAATAATTATAATAATTATGATTATTACAAAACTATCATCATTGACACTTTTCTGAGGAATTTAGTCGAGAGTTCTGCAGTTTGGAATCAGGCAATGCAAATATCAAATCTCTTTCTTTCTACCTGCCTGGAAGGAAAAGAACCAGAATATGTAAAAGTACCCTATGATTTCTATCTTCCTAGAGTTTGCAGTACAGGTAGTCCTTGACTTACGACCATAATCAAAACCCAGAATAGTGGTTGTAAGTCATTGCAACCATAAGTCAAGACACTATGTTATTGGTTCAAATTTTTTGATAAGTTTTGTGGTGGTCATTAAGCAAACACATGGTCATTAAAAAAATCCATTTTTCCCAATTGGCATTTTTTGGCAGAAACTGGATGTAAAGACCAGAAACCTACAAAAAGAGTTACAAATCACAATGCAGTGACCACAGGGTGCTGTAAATTACTGTAGAGATTAGCCAGTTGCCCAAAATGTGATCATGTGACTGTGTGTATGTGCAGCCATTGTAATTTCAAAAATGATTTTTAAGAGGTTATGAGGAGGTCCACTATAACTTCGGCTGTTAATGATCTTGTAGTATATGTGCACAGTGATGTAAAAGCAGCACCAGCAAATGAGTAGTAGTGAAATGAGTGGAGAAATTTTCTAGGTATTAACAGCCAGGCATTTGAACATCCACACAACAAAAATGCAAATTATTTACTGGTTTGCTTTCACCTTGCAGGCAATTGTTCAGAAAGGGTGTTCCTATTTCCACCTCAGTTTTATATAGTCAGTATTCTGTATTTTTGTAAGGAATGAACTGTTACAAGCATATTTTAAAATATGAAATTAGCAGGACACTAATAAAATGAAAGCTTTAATCGGGTACAATTGCTCTTAGGAGATTTACTTTATTTTTTTAATGAATCTACAAAGCTTTACCTGAAAGAAGATTATGAAAATATTACAGAGACAGCTTTTAAAATCAGATTTGAGTCCAAAACTCAAGAATTTATTGCTGACTTCTGTAGAGTTAACTTACATCAGGGATCTTCAAACTTGGCCCTTTTATGACTTGTGGACTTCAACTTCCAGAATTCCTCAGCCAGCAATGCTGGCTGAGGAATTCTGGGAGTTGAAGTCTACAAGTCATAAAACGGCCAAGTTTGAAGATCCCTGACTTACATGAACAAATCAATAACTGACAAATAGAACTGAAATAGGTATCTTAAGTAGCCAGGATAGCGCCAAGTTTATTTTTATGAATTACTGTAATGCAATTTCTAAATTATTTCAGTAATCCGTCACGCTCCTTTATGTTGGAAAATATTTTCTGTGAAATAATAAACCATCTCTGGTATCTGTTAAAAATAATTCACAAAGGCAGACTTTTAAGAAGTTTCTTCAGTATCCTAGAATGCAGTTCATCTCAACAAATTCAGTGCTGTCCTTTCATTGTGCTGTTTGTAACCTCTTTGAAGGAAGAAAACATTTGGTCATTAGAGAAGACAGGGATGAGGGAGTACCAGGAGTGAAGGGAGTGTTGGACTTAGCAGATCTGCAGATATTCCAGCAGTGTCCTTTTGTTCCAACTCTATTTGAGGTCCTCAGATAGAAAACAATGGTTTTTATTGGAGATGGAGGAGAAGGCCCAATGTGAGAGTTCCCTTTCTGATATCTGAGCATTTTTCTCACTCTCAGAGAGGCGACCAGTACAATCCAGGCTCCTTAGGATTGCAGTCTTGGTAAACTAATTAAATGTGATTATTGCTTGTAGACAAAGATCAAATAATGAGCAAATCACAATGTTATGTACCTGTGGTTTGTGCCTTTCACATTGTTCCTGGAGGATGCTATTTTTGTTCCAGGCATTTTCTTTTATTTAGTATTAAACAAAGCCCTTTATTAGCATAGAGAGGATTAATTCTATACTAAAACATAGACAGAGACAATGCTGTCATATCAATTAGCATTGGCTAGTAGTTCATAATATTTGGAGTCCTGTGATTGCAGTGTCATGAGCTGCAGGCTCTTCTACTTATTAAACAGGATGGGATTCTGCTCCCTGCTCTCAAAATGTAGGTCAGAGGCTCCATAAAGACTGAAGGAATGTGAGGAGCAAGGTGAAGAAGGGATATCCCGCTTTTGAGTAGACATTCACTCCTTAGCATTGGGTGCTCAAAAAAAAAATCATAGCATACCTTTAGTTGATTCTCTTTTTCCTCCTTGGTTAAAAAAGAATAAATAGATTGGGTGTTTTTTCTTTAAATTTTCATTTTATTCAAAAGATTAAAATACAAAATTCAAAGGGAAAAATGTAACAAAGACAAAACTAGACAAAAATATTTTAAAAAATGAATTAAAAGGACAAAGAACAAAAACACATTATCATGCCTAGTTGAACACTGATTGCAACAACAATATTGCAACAATAATAGCTTCCCCCTTGCAAAACAGATCCAAAATTTATAAACTTCTACACCTATTTGCAACCCAAATGATCTGTCATTCTGTCATATATATTCTCTCTCTCTCTCTCTCTCTCTCTCTCTCTCTCTCTCTCTCTCTCTCTCTCTCTCTCTCTCTCTCTCTCTCTCTCTCTCTGTGTGTGTGTATAAAGTCTACATTTTACTCTTTCTCTCTCTCTCTCTCTCTCTCTCTCTCTCTCTCTGTGTATTTATAAAGTCTACATTTTACTCTTTTTTGATCCAATTTGTGGGAGAAACTGGAAGCTTCTTTGATCGATTGGTGCTTACTATCTCTTATTCATATCTCCACAATGGTATGTCCCTAAAAGTCAGATGCAAACTCCAAAGTCATTAATCAAGCACTATTGCAACCCAAAGGTTGAACAGAGCTTCTGTTAAATTTCTCATAAATGCTGCGCTGGGTTTCTTATTCCCCTCCCTCTGCATCTTCCCCCCACCTCCAGTCAAAGAACATGGATAGATGGAGTGATGATTTGAGACCTCTGAAGGACTCAAAAGATCATAGGGGGTGGTGACTTTGCTCATTATTGAAGAGAGGATCATCTGGAAATAAACTTTCATAAAACCAAGTTTATGGCCTTTGCCAAGAGATCAAAGGCACACTTCTGACATATACCTGTGACATACAAAGCGAACAAGATTGAGTAACTCTCATGCTCTTAAGTGTGATCTTTCATGCTTCTGGCTCCAGGAAGCTCACAGCAACTATGATCCCCCAAACACTGAGGAATATACTATTATTACTTAAAATTTATTATAAATCAAAATGCAGCTTCAGACCTGCAGTCCTTACACTATCTGAAGAAAGGTCATGATGAAACTTCTTTAACCATTTTTGCAACTTAATCCCCTTCCCCCACTGGCATTTGTCCAAATTCCATAAAACAGATATCTCACTGTATCTCCTAATGCTATTCTAAGTAGATGAAAGTGCAGTATGGAGTAGGGATGTTGATACTAATTTTTTAGCCAAGACAGTGTTTTCCCCTATGGGCTTAGCCTCACTAATGCTGAAGGTAGGTCTCAGTCCTCCTGAAAGTGAATCTGGCTAGACAAATTATCACTTGGATTCTATCTCTCTTTCCCCCCCCCCCCATTTACTCTGTGAACAGTGTATAATGGGGACACACTACCAAACTGATTTAAGCCGAACTCTAAACTGTCCCACCACGGAAAACCTAAGGTATAGAGCAGTGATGGTGAACCTTTTAGAGACCGAGTGCCCAAACTGCAACCCAAAACCCACTTATGCATCGTCGGGTGCCGGGTGGGTGTGGCCCATTGGATGGGTGTGGCCAATTGGGTGGGTGTGGCTGCAGTGGTAACGGCAGACTGGGTGAGACTAAAAAGTTCAATCAATCAATTCCAACTTTGCAAAATCTTTTTTTCCCCGTGAGAAGTTAAAATTGACTGATTGAACCTTTTTTTTTGTACACGACAGTGGAGGCGTAAAGCGAAAAGGTTTTATAAAACCCAGCTGAAGGCCTAGGGGTGACGGCATGTGTGCCCACAGAGAGGGCTCTGAGTGCCACCTCTGGCACCCGTGCCATAGGTTCGCCACCACTGGTATAGAGTAATATTAGTTGCATACTTTAAACAGCTAGAGGGCCCTAATAGCACAAGGATCTTTATTTTGGCTTGTTGCGGTGTCACCACTGCTATGATAGATGAGAGTCACAGGAAGATCAATAAGTTTGCCCCTGGAATGCTGGTGGGCAATTGGAATCATGAAGCACATCTTCCTGTTCTGCTCATTTTAGATAGATGCCCAGAGTACCCTTCTTCCCCCAACTATTTACTAAATTTATAAGCTTACAGAGCAATTCTAGATCTCCCTACAAATCTCTGACTCAACACATAATATTGCCAAATTCTTGGCAGCATTGTACAAAAATTATCAGGAATTGATAGCCAGCCAGAGCTAAACAGACTTGACATATGCTATTATACTGCTGGTGCTTATTTCCAGAGATTTTGGTTGTGTAGCTTCTGTTGCCACAACTTAATTTTTAATTCATTTCTTTTTCGTAGGTTGCATACAGCACACTATCAACTTACTATAGTTTATTCATTATATGTGGTTTTCACTTTTATAGCAGTTTTATGGCTTTATTTATCCATCTTTTAGCTCTGTAGTCCTTGTTCTCGTATGTTCTAGATAACAGATCGTTTTTCTGTGATACTTGTTGATTCTGCTATATCTGTATTTTTATTTAAAGACCAAAGTAAAGATATCATATTATGTAAAATAGATCTGGTAAAACATTTAGGGGTAAAGATTTAATCAATGTTATTTTCCATTGTTCATTTCCAGGTCCTTCAGAAACTTTTAAATCATTTCAGAAAAAACAAAGATAAAGTGCTTCTTTTTTCTTTTTCAACAAAGGTGAGCTATGTGATCTTAATGTAAAACCCAGGGAATATTAGCATCTTTCACCAATTACTGCTTTCTAGCTTGAAATAATTATCCATGGAATAATAGAGAATGAAGCATCTTCAAATGCTTTAATTCTTTACAGGAGAAAACCTTTTACATCATACATTTCTACTCTGATAACCCCAAATCTATTCTTTGGGAAATGCTCTCCAAATGATCGTATGAGGTTTTCTCCCAACTTCTCTCAAAACACTAAAATTTAGGAGCATTCATGCAAAATAATTCAGATTCAAAATCAATAAAAGGAAATACGAAGTAGATATGTCTACTTTAACGAAGAGAAGGACGAGGGGGGATATGATAGCAGTGTTCCAATATCTCAGGGGCTGCCACAAAGAAGAGGGAGTCAGGCTATTCTCCAAAGCGCCTGAAGGCAGGACAAGAAGCAACGGGTGGAAACTAACCAAAGAGAGAAGCAACCTAGAACTAAGGAGAAACTTCCTGACAGAACAATTAACCAATGGAACAACCTGCCTCCAGAAGCGGTGAATGCTCCAACACTGGAAGTTTTTAAGAAGAAACTAGACAGCCATTTGTCCGAAATGGTATAGGGTTTCCTGCCTGAGCAGGAGGTTGGACTAGATGACCTCCAAGGTCCCTTCCAACTTTATCATTATTATTAGATATTAAAAAATGTGGAATGCACTACCATCAAATGTAAAGGAGCAGCAGTTTAGATATGTGTGAAGGATAGAGTCAGTAAAATTTACTATGGCTGCATACTACCCCTGAATAACATGCAGAATATCTTCAACTGCCAGAGGGTATTAAAAGTAGATTAGGCTCCTGTTTGTGTTTTGAGATCCCCAGTATATTATATTGTTGGCCCCTGTGCATTGCAGATGTTGGATTTATAAAACTTTGGCTTTGATTCAGCAAGGCTCTTCTTACATTCCTTGGTTCATGCAATAAAATCAATTTGTGTATATCATAATATGGTGATCATCATGTAGATATGATACATTTCCAGCCCTGAACATTTTTCTACAAGAAAAATGAATATTATGTGAATCATTTGTTAAGTATAAAATTTAATATTGAATCTGTTGGAAATAATCCCCATTGAACCCCAGGAGATTTTTTTTCCCCTAAACCATATACTGTATATACGATTGTGCTTCTAACTAAGCCAAAACACTTTGGTTTTGATGCGTGGAATTCCTGCTCTGCCGTTTTTGGGTCTTATGACATGGCAACCAAGATAAAGCAGTAATAGCCATGTCATAAGTCCCAAATGCTGCAAAGCAGAAATCCCACACTTAATTGTCTGGTTTTTACAGATTCTGATCTAAATGTATGTGAAGTTTCTGTATTAAATTACAACATTATTATAACGTACTAGAGAGTGGGAAAATTTAAATTTTAATACTAATATAATAAATACAAACAATGGAAATGAGAAATATTTCTTTTCAGCCAGTATGTGTGACTTTGGATTAATGATGAAAAAAAATGGGCTATTAGGAACTTGATTTGCCTGGTAGTTGTTTTTTAAACTGTTCAATTACTGCTTTTTCCATTAGTTACTTGATGTTCTGGAACAGTATTGCATGGCATCTGGGCTAGATTACAGAAGACTCGATGGCCATACAAAGGCAGAGGACAGGATCAAAATAGTAAAAGAGTTCAACAGCATGGAAGAAGTTAACATTTGCCTGGTTTCTACAATGTAAGCATGCCATGTCTGCTTCTGTCTAGATAGAAATGTATTGCAAATTTATTGCACTCTTGATTGAGCTTGCATTTGTCATCTCCTTGGGAAGAAGCAATAACATTTCTATTGGCTATTATAAAACTGGGAAGTAGACTTCATCACTCAAAACTCTGAGGGCAGAAGTTAAAAATGAATCATGTTCTTACGTATTACCATTTTTCTTTACTCTTCTCCCCTCCTGGGTTTAATCTGATATCTGAAAACAGTGATGAATATTGTTAACTAAATAAGAGTTTTATATTGGCTTTAGAATCAAAATAACTATGCATAAATTTTGAAAGATGTTTTCTTAAACTGTGCTTGAATGGAGCCAATAGACAGATATACAAATTAGAATCAAGATAATTTATGCACAATTTTTGAAATATGTTATCTTAGGCCATTTGAATGAAGCCAATAGACAACTAGGTAGATGCCCAAATTCAAAGAATTAATACAAACTATAGATACTACTATTGTAATGTAGGGCAATTAGCTGCTTTTAGTGCATAATACAGTACATCTCTTGCAATATAATTCCTAATTTACATTTCTGTGATAGCACACCCAGAACATATGGAGCATCAGTTTTCTTAAACTACTCTATATCAAATAAAAGCTAAACGTAAAGAACCTGCATCTACTAGAACAGGGGTGTCAAACTGTCGGCCCATGGGCCGGATACGTCATGCTGAAACTGCATCCACCCCAGCTCCGGCAATGGGGAAAAAGTCGTGATACGTTGTAACATGTCATGTGACATGGTGAGTTTGACACCCCTGTACTAGAAGCTGCTGAATTACATACAGTATACTAACAGTTCTAGCCTGATGCTTAGTTATGAGGGATACTGAAAGTTGTAGTGTAGCATATGCTTCTGTAGTATGATAAATAATCAGTCTCCATAAGCCTTTTTCTCTTCTACTACAGGTCTTGTCCTCCCTCTATACCATGGGTGTCAAACTCGCTGTGTCATGTAATGTGTTGCAATGTATCGCAACTTTTTTTGCATTGCCGGAGCTGGGGTGGGTGTGGCCTCTGTATGATGCAACCCGCCTGTGGGCTGGCAGTTTGACACCTCTGCTCTGTACCCTGTTTTTCTGTGATCTGTAGTTCTAATGCTGATTAGTTTTCGGCAAGGTTTATGTGTGTGAAACCAACTACATCTGTAGCTCCAGTTTACTCTCTGCTTCAAAGGACAGACATTTTAGCTTCAAGAAAAGCAACACATATAAATAATCAAATTGCTTTTGAGTTCAGTTTAGTTTAGTTTTCGTTTCCTAAGCCAAATACCTAGTAGCTTACAGAATTTAGAACATAGCTACATAATGTATTTTATCAGGAAAAGTAACCACTATTTTTTGCAAAAGCTCATACAAAGTCCATCAGTGATTCAATAGTCTTAGAGATTTTTGCTGATATCTATTTATAATTCTGATAGTACTTTTTTGAGAGCATGAAATGATGAGAGGAAACCTTTAGTAAGAAGAGTAATCCTTTTTTCCCATTAAGGCACAACAAGATTATTCAGCTAAAAGTTATTGTACCTATGGGCCAAAGAAGAAAAACACTGTCATGTGTTAAAGTTTTTATAAACTATTTTAGATATATTCTTCTAGATTCATTCAGAAATTGTATTGCTTCAAAACATTTGTAAAGAAATAATACTAAGTATACTGTTCTGATTTTAAAAAAGGAAAACCTATCACACGGTCATGTCATGCAATTTGATTCTCAGTCTCTGCACTAAAGATTGTAAGTTATCTAAATATGTCAGTAAGACTTGTCAGCATGGAATACACTTAGTTGCAGAGATACCTGTGGAGTGTATGTATATATTAAAAAAGTCAAGGAGATACTATGAAACAGGTGATGAAAATGCCAGTTTTCCTTAAAGTGCATTACTTCCACCTATTCTGATACCTTGCTAAGTAGTTTAATGAAAATTTATAATGCACCATAATTGTTTATATGTGTAGTTTAATATAAAACTATAATGCACCATAATTATTTATGTGGTCTATTTTTGCCTAATTTAAAAATGATGGAAAGGAAGCATTGTATGAAAACTTGAAGATTAATAACATTTAGATAACTTTATTTCTTAAGTTTTTATTGGTAACCAAAATGAACATGGCTCTCCTGGTATCAAATAAAAGAATGTAGGTTAACTATGTGGTAAAATACTTTTTTAAAAAAATAGAGTAATATATTCAACATAAATGTTAATTTTTCTCCATGTAAGTTGGCGAAGAATGCAAACTTTATGTTGTTGGATAAGTTCCATATTTTAACGTTATTATGCTGCTGTAAAAATGGCTGCAGTTTTCCCATCAGGACGTGAATTATGGAAGTGATTAGGCATCACTTCTAGCACACTCAAATGGTTTTGGGAAAATCTTGACTGACTATGGAACTGCTGAGTTTGTCTATAATGAAGATCTACATTGTATTTTTATTTTTGTTTTTGTTTTGTAGCCTTAATTGCTGATAATTGAGAAATTGTCACTAATTTGTAAAGAGAAAAAAAATTAAAGCAGGACTACTACCAGTATATGGTATAAATTGTTTTGCACTCCTTTATTTGTTCCTTACCCTTTACATTTCTTTTCCTTATTATAAAGGGCTGGTGGATTGGGTCTTAATTTTGTTGGTGCTAATATTGTCATACTGTTTGATCCAACGTGGAATCCAGCTAATGATCTTCAAGCCATTGACAGGTACATTCTAATATGTTAATTTGTTTTTTTTTTAAAGTTTTCTTTCTATGGTTGGGAGGTTCATCTTTATTTTGATCTTGAAAATAATGATTTTGCAGAGCGTACAGAATTGGCCAGCGTAGGGATGTGAAAGTATTTCGGCTAATTTCTTTGGGGACTGTGGAAGAGATGATGTACTTACGACAGATTTACAAACAGGTAAAACTTTTCATTATATTTGCAGTCATGTTGGTTTCTTAATACACTGCTATGACTTGGCCCATTTGTGGGGGAGGGGAATTCAGTCAAATACAACTCAGTAATCTTTAGCTTGGTTTTATAGCTTTCGGATTAATTTAATTTTGATTCATAAAATTAAGCATTCCTGCACTGTATATTATTAAGGAAAAGGAACTCTGCCATTGACCCAAATGCATTTTAATGAAAAAAATCAAATTTTATTGTATTACTATACCCACAATCACAACATATTTGTTGGGACAGCCAAAGTGGCACAAGAAGTTATAGAAACTTTTAAGTCTCAACAATTCTTCAGCGGACAAAAATCACAAAACTCAGGGAATGTTCAGGCTCTGAGGTCTGTAGTTTTAAAGGCACTCTTAGGTGGCATGTTGCAGATTGTGAATGCATTAGTCAAGGAGAGATATTGGCACTTAGGACAAAGAATGATGGCTACCCCATCTCTTTCTGCTCCTTCTTCTAGCCTAGTTCTGAAAACACAAAGTCTCTTAATCCTGAATCTCTTTCCAGCCACTGGTGAAGAATGGCATGACTTTGGCATGAATTTAAGAAATTTAATAGTCTTCCCGATGTCACCATATTACAGGTAGTCCTCGACTTACAACAGTTCATTTAGTGACTGTTCAAAGTTACAACGGCACAGAAAAAAGTGACTTAATAACCGTTTTTCAAACTTAACAACCATTGCAGCATCCCTGTGGTCATGTGATGAAAATTGGGATGCTTGGCAGCTGACTCATACTTATGAAGGTTATAGTCACGTGATCATCTTTTGCGACCTGACAACCAAAGTCAGTGGGGAAGCCAGATTCACTTAACATCTGTGTTACTAATTTAACAACTGCAGTGATTCACTTAACAAATAGGGCAAAACTCACTTAATAAATTTCTCACTTGGCACCATAAATTCTGGGCTAGATTATGGTCATAAGTCGGGGACTACTTGTATATCCGCATCTGTAATGCCTTCTTAGCTCAGATGTATTTTCTCTTGATCCCCCATCTTGCAAAGCCAGGAAAAAGGTGCAAGGTCTCTAAAGGCAGCCAATGGGCAAAGAAAAGTTGTCCATTTTCAATCTAAATATTGTCTAATAATAATCAAACTGCTTTTCAGATGCAAAAGCGATTTATGAAGCCATCAAGGATTTAGAGTACAACAGAGGAGGAAGAAAGAAATCCCAAGTTCTGAATCTGGTTGTCAAATGTGGTCTACGCATTTGACTTATATAGAATTACAATATGCACCTTGACAGATTGCCTCTTGTGCTGTCAGATCTTGAAGTATATCCCTGCTGGCTATTCAATTTATAATTGCAGGAAAGAGAAAGTGGAAAGGATGCTTTTTTGCCATGTCTCCAAGAGACTTTTTTTCCTGCTGTGCTTTATAGTGCTCAGTCAATGCACATCCTGAGTGTTTCATTTATCTGTAGAATAAAAGGGAAAGGAAGAAGTTATTTTTCTTCTTCTAAAATATTCCTGTAAAGTGCAGGTAGGGATTACTTGATCTCACTGCTGACATCTCTCATCTAGGATATTTACTGTTAACTATTAAGGATTTAAGGGTATCTGTCCCTTCTTTCTCTTATTCTGTCTTCCAGTTCCTTTTTTGCTCCTCAGGTGACATCCTAAAATGTCATGCCTCAACCATAAACGTGAAACATTCAGGCAGTCTGAATTTTGATCCTTCTAAATCAGACTTCTGATATCCTCCAGCTATGCTGGATTTCAACTCTGATCATCTCCAAGTAGTATAATCCATCACAGCTGGAGGGCAACAGGCTGTTAGGGGTAGTTTCCAGCACAGACCACAGCAAAGAAAACTGCAGAATACTAACCCTACTATACTAACCATAGACATGAGTGCTATTGTGCTCACTAGGGTTCAGGACTGGGAAAAAAGATCACAGTCATAGAAGTTCATATGTTTAGAACAGTGGTGGCGAACCTATGGCACGGGTGCCAGAGGCGGCACTCAGAGCTCTCTCTGTGGGCACGCGTGCCATCGCCCCAGTCCTAGGCCTTCAGCTGGGTTTTATAAAACCTTTTCACTTTAGGCCTCCGCCGCCGTGCGCAAAAAAAAAAGGTTCAATCAGTCAATTTCAACTTCTCGCGGGAAAGAAAAAGATCTCGCAAAGTTGGAATTGATTGATTGAACTTTTTAGTTACACCCAGTCCGCCGTTACCACTGCAGCCACACCCACCCAATGGGCCACGCCCACCCAATGGGCCACACCCACCCGGCACTCGACGATGCATAAGTGGGTTTTGGGTTGCAGTTTGGGCACTCAGTCTCTAAAAGGTTCGCCATCACTGGTCTAGAATCTACACAATATCTGAATTTGTGAAATATAAAGCTTTTAAGTAATCCTCAGTGCTCCCACTTTACATGGTGGAGGGAAAATAATTCGGGAGATTTAAAGTTGTGTCATGGTTATACATTTTACTGGATAAGATTATGCTATCTTACATACATTTTTGCCGACGGCCAATCTAAATATTTCTATATTTATGCAGTATATTTTAGATGTAATGGCTGATGTTGGATTTCAGTAAAATGTACGGATAGGGACGCTGTCTTTGCCGTCTTATATCAGAGGCAGGCAATGTACGATTCACCTGCTTCACCTGCTCCCTTTACAAAGCCATTCCTCCCACAGACCACCTTAGATCAGAGCCTGAGAGATTAGAAGGAATTGCTCCGGACAAAGGAAAACCTGGATGATAGTACATTGTGACCAATTTCATGACCTTTCTGTGACCTAGCTTAAATAATACTTACTTGATAGTAAGCAGGTGAGCTTTAGTATGTTAATATCATTTGCTATTCTAGCTAATAAAATATTGCAGGGATGACGATGGTGATGATGATGATGATGATAATGATGCACTGAACAGTATGTCTTTGTAACAGGTTTTTAATAGATTTCTTAATTTCTTATGTTATACAAAATAATAGGAAAGATCATGCCGATCCTGTGCTGTATGTTAATGTGATAGAACAATAATAGCATCCGTTGGGGAAAATAAAAATATATTATTTCCTTGTTGGACATTCTGCTTGCTTTCAATAAACCTATTTTGGTACTGTGCATATTTGGAAATTCTGCTACGTTGTTGGCGTGTGCTTTTGAAATGTGTATGTTGCTCTGTTTTAGCAATTGCATTGTGTAGCGATTGGAAGTAAAAATGCCAAGCGATATTTCAAGGCAGTTCAAGGATCCAGAGAGCATCAAGGAGAACTTTTTGGGATTCGTAATCTTTTCAGGCTTCAAGACCATGGATCCTGTCTTACAAAAGAGATTCTAGAGGTGCTGTGCTTTTATTTGGGCTTTCTGAATATTTTGATTTATCCACCCTATTATTTTTTATGTTGTTGAATAATACTCATTAGAAAATTCAAAAGAATGTTCACTATGATAAAATCACAAATTCTCATTGCATGAAAATAGTCCACTTTATTACAATAGCATTTCCCCCCATTCATTTAATTTTAACTATGTACATATTTACCCTACCGGGAAATGTGACCACATAATTCTTTCCTTTATCTTCATCTTTATTATTTATTTTCTTACTCAAGATGTCAGCCACTCACTCAATCAGCCTCCCTTCTGGGACATTGTATTACATATGCCTTGAATTTTTTTTTCTGCCAAATTTCTATTTTGAGTGGGTTATAATCCTTAGGGCTATGGGAATTTATTCTTGCATCAGACATTGAAATTAGAAAACTTAGGAAGCTCCCTTACTTTGATGGTCTTTTCAGACCTTAGTCAATGTGCCAATTGATATTCCCTATTCCCATTCCTTGAGCACAGATTGAAGTCAGATTTCTTACATAGGAAACAGAAGTCAGAATGTTTATACTGTTAATATACAATTTAGTGACATAGGTAGAATTTGTAGACCAACTCAGGGAATGACTTATTTAAAAGTGTTTGGCTCTTTTTTTAGAGAGAAGGCCAAGTAGAAGCTGGTGTCATGACAGCTGCTACGTGGTTGAAAGAGGGATCCCGGCCTCGTGAGGTAGAAATACTAAATAATATCATGAAACATGTTGTATGATGTTTTTGTAAATGTGATTTATAATATTTCCTTCTACAAATCTGAAGAAAACAGGAAGAATTAGAAAGACGTATTAGGAATGTGAGGACATTGATATTCTGAGTTCAATGCTTTTATATTGCATTATAATATACAAAGTTTATTTTCTAGTTCATTTGACGGGTCTTGAATCTGGTTCATGAAAAGATAGAGCTGAATAGATATGATTAGGGTTATATGGCACTGCTGAGCACAGCTTCAGTGGTACTCATAACAGTCAACCAGTGGAACAGCTAACCCCCAGAAATCACGGGCGCTCCATCGCTGGACGTTTTTAAAAAGAGACTGGACAATCACCTGTCTGAGATAGCATAGGTCCTCCTGCTTGAGCAGGGGGCTGGACTAGAAGACCTCCAAGGTCCCTTCCAGCTCTATTATATTCTAAAACATTGAATAACGTACAGCCAATGAAGATGGTTCTTAAAAATTAAATAATAAGGGGTGAAGCTTATGATGTAACTATAGAGCTAGTGTAATAAACTGTACATTTGGGTTTTTTTTGTCTTTTACTGTCTTAATATCATTATTGTCTTCAGTTCAAGAGTAGAACATTTTCACCCACTACTAAAATTCAGAATGCAGAATATTCAGTCTAGTAATAGAACTGAGAATTCATAATAATACGTTGGCAGCAAGTTGCACACGTAGTTCCATGAAATATAGAGGGTCTGATACAGGATTCCTATTAGAAAATAATAACTTTCAAGAGCTGTACCATTTGCAAAGTTTATCTGAAGTAATTCCCTTGACTTTAGAGTTTATATTTATATTTGGAATCAAGGGAATTATTTATATTTTGTTACATTCCAAGGCTTCATTCTAAAATGAAGTCTAGTACAGCTGATAAACAAGGTATGATAAATATATATAGTATCAAAATATATCATAATATAGTGAATGTAGAGATTAGCCAAATGGGTGCATTTAAATGTTTATACCATATACCGTATTCCACAAATTTCTGCAATGTATTTCCTTAAAATTAATTAAACTAAACTAAACTTCTAATACTGTATATATTACTTACAACACCGGTTGAATGGAATAGGATTTGTTTTCTTATTGAGCTAGAAATGCCTCTATATATCTTTGATTTGGATAATTGTTTTGCACAAAAGAAAAAAAAATCTGTAAAGATTAGACAGTAGAAGCTATGATGAAGATTTGCTCCTTAGTAAGTAAATAATAGGTAGCTTTTTTGTTGTTACATAGTCATCCCAAGAATTTGAATAGTTTCTAAGGATTTTTTTTCCCACCACAGTCCATGCCTGCTTAATATAAGTGCAGGCTGAATGCAGACATACCCAGTGAACACATGACATCCAGCCAAAGAGAATAATAGAAGTCTGTTTTTGATACTGTCGCTTTTCTCTCCATCTCCCTGTGAAACTGCTAACATATTTCACTGTATCTCCCAACTCTTGAAGTCATTTTTTCAGGGAGCTCCATGTGAAAAGAGAAATTAGAAAAATAACTCCTCTTCATCGCTGATCTGCAAAACCAACCCAAGAGCTGATAGTCAATGTATATCTCACCGTATGTTAAATTCATGATAATGGCTTTTAAACATTGACAATTAGTTTTATGACAGCAATGTAGTTTTTAAGTGCTGATTATTAAGAGTGATATTTAATGAAATGCTTTCAATTAATGGCTTCTTTTATACAGGAGACAGAGTGCGATTATGAAGATCAAGATACAAAACCACTAGAAAAGGAAGGACTTGAGTCTTACAGTGATTTCAGTGATGAGGAGCATGAGAAAAATTCTAAGGTCCAAGCAATAAGAAAGAGAAATTACAAAGCAAAACATGCCATAGTTGCAGAGGGACAACTCAGTTTACTGCAGTGTGGATTTCCTAAACTTCTAGAAAAGAAAACTAGAACAGCTGAGGATGGCGGATGCATCGGGATGTCTATTGATGAAAATGCGGACCACAGATTTATGAGAGGGCAATCCAAAGGAAAGGCCCAGATTGACGGTTCTGTGAAAACTGAGGGCAGGTACATTTCAGGATGTAAGAAAACCTTGCAGTCAAAAATGAGTATGGAGAGACAAGAGAAACATGGTGAAATAGCAACTAGGGCTTATCCTGTTTTACCATGCTCTGAGGAAGAAAAGGATCGATGTAAAAACATGTACAACTCAAATAAAGGTGGAATAGTTATGGACATTGAAGACAGCTCATGTGAAAGTGATACTGTCTCTCCTACCCAATTTCCTAATGGTCAGGAATCTATTAAAAGATTTCAAGAGAAAGACAGAAACTGTGATCTTTTAGCTGCAGAAAAAATGCATTTGCTTACACCATTGCAAAAACATTTGACTTCAGAGGAGAGTTATGCGAGTGTTCTGCCTTTCAGTAAAATAAAACCATTTGAGAACATCCGAAAGATAACAACTAGGAAAGAAGTAAGTGATATTAGCGACGAATCGGAAGATATTGAGATGTCCCTTTCAGGAAAGCAGAAATTAACCAGTACTGCGAAACAGAAACGATTCCAGAGCAAGGAAAGAAATAAGTCTTCTAAAACTGTTGTTCATAGAAGCAGTCCAAGTAGGAAAGAAAGCAATGCTGATTCTCAGATTATAGAGGAATATTCATCAGAAGAAGAACATTTTCCAGTTAAGACGGTTAAGGCTAGTAAAAAAAACCCAACGCTGAAGGTCAATAGGAGTGGCATTCAAATTATGTCCAGATTCTCACCATATCTCAATTATCCTTCTATGGCATTGAGAACACACAGTAATTCTAGCAAATGGCAGTCTTCTGTAAGCAAAGAGTCGCCCTCAGGCCAAGGACAAAAAGTAGGATCACTGGATGGACTTTTTGGTAATTATATTTATTTCACAAAGCATTTTTTTTTCTAGAAAATTACCATTTTCTTCTTTTCTGTTGTCGATTTGTTATCATCTTCAGTTCTTCCTTAGACTTTCTCCTTGAGATGATAAATTCTTCCTAATCAGGGATTACACCTCTGTTATATTGCTTAAAATCTAAGATGCCCAATGTCATCAACACAGTGTCTTGTGTTGCTTAGGAGAGGTCAGCTTTGCATGATTCCATTCTTCAGAGAGCAGGGATTCAGAAGGCCATGTTGAACCATTGGTCACTGATAACAAATCTTGTTTCACAAGAAGCTACTGGAGGAGATCATTTAGGAATTTGCAACAATTAAACATAACATATTTATTGTAAATATTTATATGCTGCATTCATGAGGTCCTGCATTAAACCTTCTATACACAGTCAGCAAAACATATTAGGTGTTGGTCTTATGAACTAATTGTATGTGGCCTGGCATAACTTCTGCTACCAGTGTTTCTCAACCTTGACAATTTTAAGGCATGTGGACTTCAACTCCCAGAATTCCACAGCCAGCATTGCTGGCTGTGGAATTCTGGGAGTTGAAGTCCACATACCTTAAAATTGTCAAGGTTGAGAAACACTGTGCTAAACCAATAGCAAAAGCCGGTAGAACATTTTCCATCAAATTCCTTGGAATGGCGTCTCACTAGCATTTGATTGGCTGCCACCCAGACTCTCTTTGAGCAACTGGTCAAAATTAAGCTCTTCAGGGAGGTTGTTTGCGTCTTCATTCTGCTTTAGTTTTCTTGTAGACTGGTTGTGTTAATACCGTATAATCTTTATTCTGTAATGTTTCTTTTGTTGTAAATTGCCAAGAGTCCCTACAGATTCAGTGGTTAATAAATGTAATTAATAATAACTTCTAAAATGTTTAATCTGAATATAGATTGGTGTTGGTGTTTGTGGATTGCATAGAATGTGTTGTTCTTTTCTATAATTGTTGATGCTGAAGCAGAAATAATTTTAATTGGTTCTGGCTAAGTTAAAATTGAGTGTTATATGAATGTTTAAATGTTTTCAGTAATCTTGTAATTTTACTGTGTTATGCATCAGCCTCATTAATAACAATTAGAATGTAATATTTTGTAATGATTATAATTTATGTTGGATCAGATGGCATTATCTAGTTCACTTTCAGAAAAGCTAAGCAAGTTGGACAAAGTTGGAGACACCACCCAGAAATCCCTGGGCTAAGGACTAGAGTGGTAAATTAAAAAACAAAACACTTGAAAGAAGACACTTCTGTATTGTCCCGTAACAACAACGTAGTCATATCTGTGAGATCATTATAAGTTAAGCTCACTACAAGGCAAATAAAGCCTTTTTCTTTACTAATGAAAGATAAAAATTTATATTCTTTCAAATTGCTAAATATTTCAAATTAGAGATTAAAATGTACAGCTATCTAGGATCTTTAGAATTTCTGAATCAATAGTAATGAATATTAACCTTGGGATTTTAATTTTTTTTTATTGAACATCCATCTATAAGTCAATCATACTGCAATCTTAAACCAACAATTTCTGTATTCTGTTTCAATTATCAGATAATGTCGCTGAAGTTCCATATGTTCATTCAAACCAAGATGTGGTTGGCCCAAGCAAAGCTGAAAATAAAATGAGTCATTGGGCAGTCCGAGATGTTTTTGAACTACAACAATTTTCCCAGCTCCCAGCAAACATAGCAATATGCAGAGCCAAGGTAAAGAGCAGGAACTGAGAAGTGTGTTTCTCTTGCTATTGTTGTTTAAACAATATTGTTGTTTAAACCCAATATTTTCCTTTTTAAACATGGCTTTTCATTGTTGACCACCGTGAGTGATCAAGGGCAGAGTTACTGGAAGATGGTGCCTACAGCACACTCTTAACAAAGTGAATGTTGCTATTTCTATACCAAGGGAGTGAGAAAATTATTATAGAAGTTTCACTGAGAAATACCTACTGGATATGTAAGGTATGCCAAGGATGTGGCATATATCCTTTTGCTGTAGTTTTTAAAAACAACAGCAACCAAAAAAGAACCATAGTATGCAAACACCCTCCTCATGTTTATTTCATATGTTAAATCAGAAGCTTAAATTGATACATTTATTTCTGTAATTTCCCCTTCTCTCCAGCTCTTCCTCATAAGAACAACTTTAGGACTTGTGAGTTAAAAGATTACGGTTACAGCAGAAGTCTTTTTTTTTTGGTTTTTGGATAAATGTCATATGTGATTCTTAAATTTGTATTAGTTGTCCTATTGCATAAACTTGACAAGCCTGTTATATTTGGTTCCTTAGTCTACAGCAGGCATGTCAAACTCGTGACATCACGTGACGTCGCGCGAGGTATCGGGACTTTTTCCCCGTTGCCGGCAATGGGGTGGGCACAGTTTTGGCATGACGCATCCGGCCCATGGGCTGGCAGTTTGACATGCCTGGTCTACAGCTTACAGTCCTTTCCTTCAAAACCCCGTTTCTTCTGTCTTCTTCATTTGTCATGTCTTTCATGTCTCACTCTGACTTTATATAGAGTTTGTCTACTGGCTTTATTGGTAATTGCCGCATTATCAACACTATAATGTCATAGAGATTGAAACTCACTGTAAAAAAAGTTCAAATTCATCATCATTTGAGTCTACAGTTGGGGCGTAGAGTTGCAGTATGGTGATGTTGAGTGGCTTGACTCAAATTTGGATAGATAAAAATATATAAAATATATAAAAAATATAAAATATAGTAATATCTAATAGAGAATAATCAAAAACTGTAGAATACATGTAGATTTGCAAAAGCTAACAAAGCAGAGGAAGCAAGAAGCCTCTTTTTGGGGGTTTATAGCCACACATGCTTTTCTGGCTCCACAATCCTTATTGTAGCCTTAAGAATTTCCCTTTGTGTTGATTCCTACTTTTCTGTCATCCCTTGTATTCTAGTTCACTCACTTCACTGGTATGGGAAATATTTGAATCTGTGATGTAGCATTTTGTAATTGTTGTTTCATGCTGGTGGTTCTTGTTTATGAGGCTATAATCATGTTGGACCTAGATGAGAAGCAGCTTGCAGAATCACAGTGATTGGTGTTTTGTTAAAGGGATATCCGTCTCCTACTCATTTCCATTTATGGAAGGAGATTCATGCCTCATGCTTTCTGTTTTTCTATATTTATTGAGTGGGAGTTCTTAACTGGAAATGAAACCTCAATCTTGGTGGAAAAAAATTGCTTAGTGATTTTATTTACCATCTTTGCCTCCTACTTTAGCAAACCCAATAATCTTTGCAATCTTTAATTCTATATCTTTAGTTGGAAGGCTAATTTTCAAGTCCTCTGTTTACTTGTTGATGCATTGTTTACCTCCTTGGTGAAAATGAGTGATTTTGAAATGGATATGGCAATGAGGGAGGCATCCAGAGGGGAAATGATTGTAGTGATATGCAATTTTAATTAACATCACAGAAACTACCATTACAGAGTGGTTTAATTGTTAAGAGGTTTTAAGTGACTATATCCTAGTCATGAAACCCACCATAAGGGAAGCAATGGTAGACTGAATACCAAGCAATGCCCAGAATGTAGTGTGTTAGTTAAATGATAAGAAAGATAAGCACTGCCCTATAAGATTTCATTTATATTTAACATTGCCACAGGAGCTTAGTACAGTCATATTTGAGTTAAAATAATACTTTTTAAAAATGATGGAGACATGTATGAGGGAATTTGAGAAAGGGAGGTTATTTCTTTCTTGAAGACTGCAATTTATTTATTTATTTTATACTTTGATAAAAAGAATGCCATAGGTCAGGAAAGTTTTATCAAGGCTAAGAGATTCACAAGCATAGCTAACCAGCAATATTGGGGAGAACTAATTGAGAAAAGAAGGCTACTTAAGGAAATGACCAAATGTGATTCCCGGATTTGCACTAAAGAAGTGCAAAATAACAAAGAATACAAAGCTATAGAGCAGTGATGGCGAACCTTTTAAAGACCGAGTGCCCAAAAACTGGCCCCGCCCCACTCCACCCTCTGCCCCACCCCCACTCCGCACCCACCCCGTCCCCTGCCCTGCCTGTCCGCAGGGCCACTCACTGCCTCCAGGGCCTGCCGCAGATCGCCCAGGCAGCCCAGCAGCGACATGGCGGCCACGGCCTCTGCCTGCGCCCCGCAGCATCAATTGTACGCGATGGGGCTTGAGGGCAGAGTCTTGTCCACGCTGCCTGGCTGCCAAGTCCTTGGCTGTGCTGCTCCACGTGGGCCACGCTCAGGGGTGACTCTCCTCCAGGGGGGCTGCTGGTGAGGAGGGGGTCATGGGGGGAGGCGAGGCTGGGGCAACGGCACGTGTGCCCACAGAGAGGGCTCCAAGTGCCACCTCTGGCACGCGTGCCATAGGTTCGCCACCACTGCTATAGAGATTCATATTGCTAATAATTTTAAAATATCTATCTAGAGTGGTGAACACTAGGGAAATTAAAATGACTAGTAGTAGAAAACTGAATTAATTTCTGGTATCTATTTTCACTGTACAGGTAGAAGGGCAGATTTTCAGTGTCCAAAGTGATATTTTCAGGAAGTGGGTCTGAGGGCTAAAGAAAGGCTGTTCAGGGCCTAGTAGAGGGCTGCATTACAGAGGAGGGACAAGAGGCAAAATGATGGCGATTTGATATTAACATGGTTAGAAATGGACACCTAGATTGATCATTGCCATATTGACATTTCCTGACTGGAGAAGAACTTGCCATTCAAGAGAGAAACAGGATTCATGCTTTTGGATGCTTAGTTTTACATTCAGAATGAGAAGCAGCACTTCATTTCTACAAGTTCAAAAGCACCTGCCATTAGTCCCTTTCTCTAAAAAAAGGATATATTATTCTCATTTTCCAATTAGGAGGCTCCTGCAGATGAGAGTTGATATTCTGACATACCTTGCTTCACATAAATAAATTAAAAATCATACATAAGGATGCAGAGTCTGTAACATAATTCAAAATTATAAAGTCTGTAACATAATTCAAAATTATAAGGAGTTATAGATTTGCCTTGCTTGGTAGCTACCAGATTGGGACTCCAGAAATCTGGAAAAGCAGTAGATGGCAGCAAAGAGAAAAGCTGTATCTTACCCAGATTTTTGGAGCTGAAATCTGGTAACCCTATATTTAGGTTCCCAAACATGAGCATATACCAAACAGAGAAAGTCTTGGTTAAAAAGAAAGGGGAAAAAAATTACTTTGCCCAATATAATATGATACGAACAGAGAAATCATATCATTACATTGTACATTATAGTTAATTTGTTGTTTTAATGCACCATCACAAAATGTATACTCTGCCCCCGGATTATATAGATGCTTTTTTCTGTCAATTGCTTGTTTTCAACTTAAGTTTACTTAACGTTTCACTGAAAAGAAATATACAAAGATACCCATTGAACTGAGGATTAATCACTATGGCAACTAAAATGTGGTGACTGAAAAGGGGATGTATTTTCCCCTCAGCTTCCTGCCAGCTGTCATATTCAACTTTTGCGGCATGAATCCAGTCCAAAGTATAGACAGTGATCAGTGCTAAGAAACTATATCTGTATTTTTATAAATTGGTACAAGTATCACACTATAAAAGAAGACTTAATCCCTTGAATTGGATGACAGACACTTGGCACTCTTGACAAGGTTTGATAGAGAAATAACAGGCTGCTTTGTAGTAAAACC